TCCATTATTTTTGTCATTATTTAAATCAATTTTAACATCTGCAGTTGCAATAACATTGGCAACTAAGTATTCTTCTGAACTAGATTGGTAATTTTGTGTTTCAATGTTCTGTTTGGCCTGCACTACTCCTGGATTCTTACCAAGCACAATTATTCTGATCCTATATAAAGCATTTAAGGGTGTTGGGTGATCATTTAGTCCTCCGCGACTCCTAATTATAGAAAAAAAACTTTCAAGACTATCTTGATTTAGTCTGTTAGTCAGTATGTATGATATATTATTTTTTTTATTCAAATTTTTGAAAAGTTCTTGAGTTGATTTAATTGAAATTAAAATTCCTTTTTGAAATGTTTGCAGTACGTTTTTACCTTGGCATCTCATTGAATTTATTAACTTGTATACTTTTTCTAAACAATCATTCTGATCTTCTAAATTTAAACCATATGGCTTTTTAGTGCACAACGTTTCAGATGGCGTATAAGAATTCATTATATCAAACCAATTACTTATAGTTTCAATGAATTGTCCAGTATTTTCTGATAATACCTTATCTGGACCAGGTTTATAATGAATTAAAGCTGTGGCAACACTATGTGAGAGTAACTGTGCTGCTAAGCCAACATTTTGTCTTTCAGACTTTATACAGTCTAAATGTTTTTGTGTTAGCTTGTGACAAACTGAAATTTCAGTCCGAGTAACTTTTAGTAACTCTTTTAATGGTCCTGAATTTATTCTAGAACCGTCAGAAAGAATGAATCCGGTATCTAACATCCAGTTCCGAATAATTTTAAGAAGGTGTGGAGCATCAGCTAAGAAATAGATTTTTTCTTTTGTTATAGGATGAAGAAAAAATGTTTGGTCTTTTGTTATATCCAACTTTTTCCATAATCCTACGTTACTACCACCACAATCTGATATACAAGCTACTACAGTATATGCATTTTCATACAAAATGGATATAGCTTCATTCAGAATTTCTGGCGTAACTTGTTGATCGAAGTTCACATAAATTGGTTGCTTCCAGCTTTTAAAAATGCCTCTCACCATGATAACTTGCATTTGGCTGTGTGGTCCTATGACTTGATCATTTTTTTTTGTCGTATTCGTAAGCTGATAATATTTTCATTTCGTCGAATTGTATAACACACAATATTTTTCAATATTATTTAAATTTAACGCCGCTATTTTCATGATTCTTATAACATCATTTAGAAAACCTTGATGAAAACTTAATCTAGATGCCCATTTCACTAAAGTTGAAACATGTGGTAGTGGATACTTCAATGTGTTTCTAAGATAAATGTAGCATCTTTTACTAAGATATCTTATCGTAAAAGCTCTTGAAATGTCTTCTGTTCCCCATACAACTTTTTTTTTCTTTTAGTTATTAATTGTAACTGGGTGTCACTAAATACTGTGTTTAAAGATTCCTTTAAGCATTGAGTTTGTAAAACACACTCTCCAAATTTTTTGCTAAGTGTATTGACATTTTTTTTCAGTGTAAGTACACGGTGTTTTTGAACTCTTTTGAATTGTAATAAATGTTTATACTTTGTTTTTAATTTTGTGTGCTCGTTGAGTAATTTTTGGTACTTTTCTTCAATAGATTCGTCAATCAAAGCTGGTGACACGCCATATAATTTGTCTTGATCTTCATGTGTTAAATCATCATCACCTTGTGCATTATCATTATTTTCAGTTGGATGTATTAAGTTTTTAACAATAGTTGCATTATGACGTTTATTAGCACGTACTTGTCTGGATGTTAAGTCAGTTGATATATATGATAAAGAATTCTCTTTCAAGTTCTGTGTTGGAACAGCTAAAAAAATAATACAATTATTAGATATACTCAGGTTAATAATTTTAAATTAATAATAATGTAGTTAATTAATTAGGTACCTGATGTTTTCAATTTTTTTTTTGTTTTGATGTTCATCAATTGACTTCTTAAATCTACTTCAAATTGATCTTCTAAAAAATGAACACTACAAATTGTGCTGGTCTTAGGATTCCATTCATCCTTTCTTCGGCAAGCATTTATCCAAGTATTACATAATTTTGGATCTTTTGGAAATGTATGGTATGAAATATTTAAATTTTTTTTCTTGGTTGCTTGTAAACTATTTTGGCATATTGCGACAGCACATCTAGTTCCTGGCATCTATTTAAAAATATTGGTATTTAATAAATTGTTACTTTTTTGGTGTATCCAGTATTAATGTCCATTTACAAGTTAATGATATTTTTTAACTCAGTTAAGTTAAGTTAAACTAAATAAAATGTTCCAAAATGCTATTCAGTTTAAACGACATAGGTACCTCCTAATATACTATACAACACCACCTAAAGTGGGTCACAGGGTTAAAAAACCTACCGAATTCGTGGTCTAATGTAAAATTGTAAACGTACCTTAAAGTGTGTAGTCAAATGTGAAATTTGAATGTGAACATTGAATATTGTCAAATTTGTGTTTAGCGAGTAGCGACTGATAAAATATAAAGACGGCAGTACGATAGTACGCACCGCCAAACAAGGTCTATTCTGACGTCACGGTACTTGAAACCACGCCCCCTACACAATGCATGCTTCGACCGTATATCTATTAACCGTGGGTAACGGCGCCTTTTCTCTGGCATTAGGCCACAAACTTTCATCGACCTGCAACCATTGTGGGCCCTCCCACCACAATTTGTGTTCACGTAATTGATTCGGACTACAACCTCTGGATAGTACATCCGCGGGATTCTCACTAGACCTAACGTGTGACCATTCTGTTGCAGAGGAAAACTGTTGTACTTCTCCGACTCTATGTGACACAAAGGTTTTCCATTTAGATGCTGGTGAACTTATCCATGCCAAAACTATTGTGGAGTCGGACCAAAAATAACGTCGAACATTATTAATGCGCAAACTAGGTAGTATTTTATTAACTAAGCGCACGAGTAAGACGGCTGCACATAATTCTAATTTGGCTAAAGAAATTACTTTTAGTGGGGCTACTCGCGATTTGGCAGCGATTAAGCGGGTGATGTGATTGCCGTATTCGTCTGTGGCACGTAAATACATCGCTGTCGCGTACGCTTTTATTGATGCGTCGGTAAAACAGTGTATTTGTACACGGATCGCCTTATCAACTCCTATTACGCACCGTGGTATTTGTATTTGTACTATTTCAAATAATTCTTCATAATACGTGTTCCATTCGTCGTATAATAGTGGCGGTAGTCTTTCGTCCCAGCTAATTTTATTTGTCCACAATTGCTGCATAAACATCTTAGCCTTTACTACGACTGGACCTATCAATGATAACGGATCGAATATTGTCGCGATCGCAGACAGTACCGTACGTTTCGTAATGACCCCGTCATTATTCATCTTATCGATTTTGTATATATATGTGTCATTAATCGGACTCCAGCTCAAGCCTAACGTTTTAACAGCGCTACCATCTAAATTTAGTACGCGCAGCGGATCGTTGTCGTCGTTTGGAATTCCAGTTAATAGCCGCTTATCATTCGACACCCACTTCCACAAATTGAATCCACATTTGTTTGTAATCGTTACTATTCCGTCACGTAATTTAATGGCGGCGTCGATCGTTTGTGCACCTCCGAGATAATTGTCCATGTAGAAATCTGATGCGACTGCGGAGCTTGCTTCCGGAAATAACGATCTCGTATCATCAGCTAACATTTTTAAACACGCTGTAGCTAAATAAGAAGCTGAACTCGTTCCTTACGTTACCGTGTTAAGTCTGTAGTCCTTTACTTCTTCAGCTGGGTTTTCCCGCTACAACACACGTTGAAGGTCGTGGTCTTTTTCGGCGATCCAAATTTGCCGATACATTTTTTCGATGTCGGCTGACATCGCATATTTGTGTGTGCGAAAACGACTAATGATATTAATTAAGTCATCTTGAATTGACGGGCCTTTTAATAGAATTTCATTAAGACTCTTTCCCGTATCCGTAGCACACGACGCGTCAAAAACGACCCGCAACTTTGTCGTTAAACTGTTATCGCGTAATACGGCGTGGTCAGGGCTTTAAGTGGGAAAAAATTCCAGGGGGGACTAACGTCTCCATATAGTTTTAAGCGTTCCGTATATTGTTTTATGTATAATGTTTAATGCACATAGACATATTATAGTAGATACATGTAATTTTTAAACAGTGATTGTGTAACATACTCATCCAACATTCCCACTTTTAAGTTTAAACCTTGAATAATGATAAAATTTGTAATTTATTTTATGAACAATTTAAATCACAAATAATACTACATTTTTAAGAATAATTAATGTTTTACACAAATTTAATATTGTTTCTCATGATATTAAGTTGTAAGTAGTGGTTTTTTTAAGAAAACTAAAGAAATCAACCTGACCAAAAATATTTATATCATAAAATGTTGGGTTTTTAGTGCTTTAAATTATACAAAATAAAATTTAAATTCTATGCATGGTGGGATAAGTATGCTTATAAAATCACACTTTATCTATATATCTATATATATTATATATATTAATAAGAAAGTATGAATTTCAATTTTACATTATTTAATAAAGAGCTATTTTAAAATAAAACAATTATAAATATTTAAATAGGAACATAAATTATATTTTCTTTAATAAAATGTTTTCTTTAACATGAATTCATAAAAATTATAAATGTAACATACCAACATAGAAAATATACATAATAACTATATTATTATACTTATGCATTTAAGAGTAAAATAAGTTATAATAACTTATTAATATATATGGTAAGGTAATGTAGAAACATAAATTAAATTTTCTTTTGCACTTGGTTGCTTTAACATTAAATAATAAAAATAAAAACTAACAAACATAATAATAATCAAGTAAGTTTTTTAATTAAACATTTAAACAATTCCATATTGAGTTATAAGGATTAGATTCATTTTCATCTTTTTTGGCTCTTTTTAAACAATTTGTTTCTGTAGCAGAACGTTTTCCTCTCATAATCCATGACTTCACAAATGATTTAGGATCAAATTTTTCTAGAGGTGGCCCAACACAATGAATGAAAATTAGTGAAGACAAATGACTTGATGTTAATGTACTCCTTATAGGACTTACAATTACATTCATTGAGCTAAAGGTACGTTCACACTTCGAAGAAGATATTGCAATAGAGTTAATTACAGTCATTAAAGGTTTAATATCAATATTAACTTTTTTATTTTCTTTGAACTCACGAAAACCTCGAACAGATAAAACTTGATCAATTTGAAACACCTGTGATAAACGTCGAATATTTTCATCGCCATACTGAATATCCATATTATCTGGCCAATTTTCTGGGGAAAGGACTTCTAAATCTTCAATTAAATTTTTGAAATTAACTTGATATTCATTATTAACTTCCCTCGATGACACATTACTAGCTTGTGTTGTCATAAGTCTTTGTTTCATATTATTACTTAAACTTGTAAAAAATTGTCCCATTTGTACTTTTATAACTGATGTTTTAGAATATATTTGAATGTTTTTGAATTTTTTGTTTTCACAAGCAGAAATTGCTTCTTGACTTTTTGGACCTGGTATACTAGCCATGGACTCTAAAACTCGAATTGTACGCTGAATAGATTTATGAGCAGCAGGTAATGTCATATCTCTTTTTTGTAATTGTATTGATAAGTCTGATAGTTCAATTAATGCATTATATAACACACCAAGATTATGTACAAAATTATTCGAAGTGAGTATATTTCTTAACCCATTATATTTTGCTCTTTCTCTTGAGTCTCTACATGTGTCAGTAGATGCATAAGAAAAATGTTTGAATAATGCTTCATAATTATTCCAAACAGCTTTCACTGTACTCTGACTTGAAGCAACCCATCGAATAGTGAAAATCTTACCGATCGTTAATAGTTGTTTCTCCAATGAAGCAGCACATTCACGTAATTCACTTGTATTCTTAGGAGACATATGGTATGTTGCATAAAGTTTTTCAATAAAACTCTGAAATTGATTTAGTCCACTTACTTCTTTTAAAGTATCGTTAACTGCCAACTCTAGGCGGTGGTTACAACAGTGCCAAGTTATTATATTTGGAAAATCATTTTTTAATAGAGTACCGACACCAGATTTCCGTCCCAACATATTAGATGCTCCATCACTAACAAAAGCAATTAAGTTTTTTTTTAAAAATTCAAAATTAATCCCATACTTTTCAAGTGCTTGCAACATTGAACCTTTTACAGATATAGCTGAGGTATTATTCAGTTCAACAATATCAAAAAAGAATGTATTTATTTCACCTAACTCACCAATAGCACAGCGCAAACAAACAACCAACATCGACTTCTTGCTTAAAGTTGTTGATTCATCAACTAAAATACATAATTTTGTTTCATTTTCTGTAATGCATTTAGCTAATTTTTTTCTCATCTCAAAGGCAATATGATCAATTATTTGTGTACATGATACATTAGTTTGAAGAATTCTACCAAGATCAACTCCATTAATAACTTGTAAGTCAACTAATTTTGGCATATCAGTATATGGACGTTGATTTTTAGAAATTAAATAGGCTGTTCTAAATATTTTTTGTGTTTGGTCTGATTCAGATAATACCATTTCAGATAATTTTTCATCCATTATATTTTTTTTACTTTCATCAACAATCTTTTGAGCATTTAAATGTGAAATTGAAAGCTTGTGTTTTGATATTTTTTTTCTTAAATTAGTCTGTTTATTTTTTAAATTTAAACCAGTTGGAGAAATTTCTGCATTTGACCACTCAGTTGCTATATGTGAACCTGTTTGCTTAAGCAAATTTAGATTTACATCTCTACAAAATGTACAACCAATTTTTTTTTCTTTAAAATACATCCAAGGATAAGTTTCAGTAAAATAATGAATTTGTTTGGTGTCCCAGCAATCAGGATAAGAATTATTATCTATATAATTAGTAGATTTAGTAACAGGAATTGTGGATGAGGTTGATAAGTCAATATTTGATTTAAATGTACTGGTAGCAGTTTGTTCTTTGCTAGTAGGAACTTTATGTGTAGGTAAATCATTCTTTGGAATTTTGGAGAAGTTATACTTCAAAAGACTCATAATGTCTACACAAAACAATATATAAAAATTAAAAAATAAATATTCTTTAAAAATAATTTAACTTAAATAAGATTAAATTTACCTGTTAGCCGTAACTTCTTAGTTCTTTTTATAACAAATTATTTAAATAGATAATTAAAATATAGTTAACATTAAAAACTTTTTCAATAAAACTAATTAAAACGATAAAGGTTAAGTACATACTACAACACACTACATTAAATGCTGTCAATAATAATATTTTGTTAGTACAACAATATAATTATTATTATAATGATCTTTTGATTTTCGAATATTTTTATGTATAGTTATAAATAAACTTATAAATTATACAGTGTATGCATTGGTCAGAACAGTAAACAATCCGAACGCGTACCTCACCTCACGTACGTGGCTATAAATTGCTATAAACGTTTTCATCGGGTTGGCCCTAACATCATATTAGTAAACGTTTTTGTGTTTTTCGAATAAGTGATAACAATTTCTTAATAGTGGTTTATGGTAATAAATAATCACTCACAATTTATAAAATATTAAGCACTATATTACTGTGATATGTATGTACAAGAAATATAACAAATACTAATTACGCGTACAATATTACTGCGAACTGAACAACACAGTAAGTCGCGATACATAGTCACTGACGGAATGAAAATTGAGCATCTGATCAGCTGGTATTTATAGGCTCCGCTTTGTTCTAGAACATCCCCGAAATACTAGCGAGACCATCGTGGAATATTAGAACATGGGTTTTCCTATTGTACCTGTCGACAGTAATATTGGGCGGCTCGTGTGTATTGTCCATCGCCACATCACCCCCTACCAGTGATGGAGTCAGCAGGAACTTATTTGAAGACGTTCGGGGAAATGGACTCTCCTACCGGAACGCGTTTTCCTGTCTTTGTTTCTGGTGTCGGTTCTTCTGTTTTGGTTTCTTATTTGCGATAGTTTCGGGTGTGGCATGTTTCATGTTTCTGGAGCTAACCTCCTCGTGTATGTCATCAGCAATTATGTAGGCTGGTTTCAGTCTATCAATTGTCACTGTTATCTTTTTCCCTTTCACGTCAATGCAGAAGGTTTTCCGATTGCGACTTACAACTGGGTATGGGCCGTCGTACGGCATTTGTAGACAGTTTTTCGGTCCATCATGACGAATAAACACTTGTTTGGAGGTGGCGAGGTCCTTAAATATGAAATTTTTCTTTTCTCCGTGGCAGGTTCCATTTACCGGTTGTATCTGACGAATCTGGTGTCGAAGATCCTTGATGAACTCTGCTGCGTTCTCAAACTTAGCGTCATCTGATCTTGTTGAGAGAAATTCACCAGGTAGACGAAGTGATTCTCCGAATACAAGTTCTGCGGATGTGGACTTCAGATCCTCGCGCCAAGCTGCTCGTATGCCTAATAAGACTGTTGGGAGTATTTCAGTCCACCGTTTGTTCTGGTGACATTTGATAGCGGCCTTAAGCTGTCGATGGCTTCGTTCTACCATACCGTTTGCTGAAGGGTGGTAGGCCGTAGTCCTAAGGTGATTTGTACCAGTCAAATATCCTAGATACTTGAAAAGGTTTGATTCGAATTGTCTCCCTTGATCAGTCGTTATAATAAGAGGTGTACCAAATCTTGAAATCCAATGTGTATAAAATGCTCGGGCGACAGTCTCTGCTTCTTGGTTCTCCAAAGGTATCACTTCCGGCCATCGAGTAAATCTATCGATACACGTAAGGCAGTAGCGGAATCCTTCTGAATATGGCATAATGATGAGGTCTAAATGTACATGTTCGAATCTTTGTGATGGTTGAGGAAATGAACCAAGTGGTGCTGAAACATGACGTGTTATTTTAGCTCGTTGACACTCGATGCATGCTCGGGCCCATTGTTTACAGTCCTTGTTGATAGAAGGCCATACAAACCGTTGTGTTACCAACTTGGTAGTGGCTTTTATGCCTGGATGTGAAAGACGATGGACAGTATTAAAAGCAGCACGTCGAAAAGATTTTGTAATAAAAGGTCGGGCGGTTGGTGTCATGGTGTCGCAAAACACAGGAACATCCATGCCGGGCATTTGAATTTGCTTAAGCTGTAATCCAGTGTCACTCCGTAAATACGTTTTTAATTCGTCGTCTTCTTGTTGAGATTTAGCCAGGGCAGTATAATCCAGTGTATCCGAAAGAACTTCCACTCGAGAGAGAGCGTCGGCCACAATGTTCTGTTTACCTGGCACATATCTTATGTCTGTAGTAAACTGTGAGATATAATCTAGGTGACGAAATTGGCGTGGTGAGCACTTTTCAAGTTTCTGCTGAAAGGCGAAAGTGATGGGTTTGTGGTCAGTGAAAATGGTAAAATTGCGAGTTTCTACCATGTGTCGAAAATGTTTGACAGCAAGATAGATAGCAAGGAGTTCACGATCGTAGGCTCCGTATTTAGATTCAGTTACTGAAAGTTTTTTTGAAAAGAATGCGAGAGGCTGCCATCCCTTGTTGACGAATTGTTGGAGAGTCGCGCCCACTGCGGTGTCAGAAGCATCACTTACAATGGCCAATGGTGCATTGTCGCGAGGGTGAGCAAGTAACGTGGCTGAGGCAAGTTTTTCTTTACAATTTTCAAAAGCAGCAGTAGCTTCAGGTGTCCAGTTGATAGGAGTTTTGCCTTTGAGATTGGAAACCAGTAAGACGTTCAATGGTGCTTGTGCTTCTGAAGCTCCGGGTATAAAACGTCGATAGAAGTTTATCATACCCAGGAACTGTCGTAACCCTTTTGCTGATGTCGGTTTCTTGTATTTCAAGATGTCGTCGATTCTGTCAGGTAAAGGACGTGTGCCATCTGTGGAAATAAGGTAACCTAGGAATTTGACTTCTTTTTGTCCGAAAACACACTTGGAAGGGTTGATTACTAGAGAGTATTCACGTAACCGATTGAAAATGATCTGTAAGTGCTTGATATGTTCTTCTTCAGAAGTAGAAGCTACTAGTATATCATCGATATAACTGAAACAAAACTCAAGTCCACGGAGTACTTCGTCAATAAAACGTTGGAACGTCTGAGCTGCGTTTCTGAGTCCGAAAGACATAAAAGGAAACTCGAAAAGTCCAAATGGTGTTATTATGGCCGTTTTATTGATATCTTCCTCTGCTACAGGAATTTGATTATAGGCTCTTACCAGATCGATTGTTGAGAAAATGTTTTTTCCGTGAAGGAAGTGTGTGAAATCCTGGATGTGACGAACTGGGTAGCGGTCTGGGATAGTTCGAGTATTAAGTGCACGATAATCTCCACAGGGTCGCCATGCGTCTGTAGTGTTCTTTGAAACCAGGTGGAGTGGT